GCGTGGCTCTAATGATGCGACTGGTAGCTCTGAGTGCTTGATGCGTATAGGCGTATGAGCTACAGTAAGCTGGCACGCACTACACCTAAAATCCTCCTGAATTTTACTAAAACTTAGCCATGTACCATGTGGATTTTGTTTATGCACGTTGAAAGACCAAAATTAGGAAAATCATGGATTGAAGGATACGAATGAATTCACCAACTATGGCCATGGGTATAATTCAATTGATTGCAAGTCACATGTTTTTTACTTGGGATTGGGAAAGAGAAATTTCCTTTTAAACAGAAGCAGAAGTTAGATATTATTTACTTCTGAAAGTCTGGTGATTATGTTCTTACTATTTGTGATGCGGTCATAGGGGATGGTGATCAGGGGATGAGAGTCGCTGCAGCGACATACTTGAAAAATTTTACCCGGCGCAATTTGGAAAGCAGTCTGTCTTCGTCTGAGCTTTACAAGGAGTTCTGTGACCAACTTGCCCAGGCTTTGCTTCGAGTGGAACCTGCAATTCTTCGAGTGCTGATTGAAGTTGTAAGTCTTTACTCTTATATCCCTCAAACGCCCTGTGGTTAGAGCTCTGTTTTGTATGTTTTATTTATGGTTGTTTTACTAACGGATTACAATATCTTCTGACCAGTTCCGCCAAGTTGTTGAAAAAGATTTTGTCAAGGATAACTTGTGGCCTGAGCTTATCCCTCAGTTGAAATTAGTGATCCAGAGCAGCAATCTAGTTAGTCCAGGCCAGCATCCTGAGTGGAATACAATTAATGCTCTCAAAGTACTTCAATCTGTTGTTAGGCCCTTCCAGGTACATCTCTTGCTTTCTATGCTTATGGCATTTTTTGAAAACCACCTGTTTCACCCTCCGTTTTATCTCGAGAAGCATGAACATATGATTGTGACTTTGACGTCTATACAGTGTAGCGCTTGTATCATCCACAGTTACCAATTTCTTGTTCAGTGTAGTCACTAGCTTTCCTATGAATAAAACTGAAAGCTGATTCCTTTCTTTTTGGAGTTTACTTTTTATCCTTATTCCCCGGTATACTCTGTTTGAGATGCTATACTCATAACTTAGCATTTCAATACACTAGTAAGTTTAGTATGCTGCTATCAGATCTGTACTGTCCACACTAATTTATTTAGTTCTATTCACTGATGTTCCATAATTCACCCATAGTATTTTAATATGTTGCATATTTAATTTTTCTAATTTGTGTCATCTTACAGTATTTCTTGAATCCAAAAGTTACAAAAGAGCCTGTTCCACAACAGCTGGAGCAAATTGCAGCAGAGATTCTTGTACCATTGCAAGTGACATTCCATCACTTCTCTGACAAGGTATTATGTTTGTGCACTCTGTTTTTTAGTTAAATGTTACAGCCAGCTTGATCTTTTCTGTTGAACATTTATGGTGTGTGGCTGTGTGCAATAGGTTCTGTCGTCACCTGATGGGACTAACATGGAATATGAGCAGCTCCTACTCATCACATGCAAATGCATGTATTTCACTGTAAGCCCTGTTTTTATTTCCTATTCCTTTTGTATTAACAATGTCATCACGACATTTTCTTGAATTATGACAACAACGTAATTAAGGCGAAGAAGAAAACCACAAATTTGCTATCAGAAAGCTAAGTATCATTTGCAGGAATATATTTAATATTGCCAATTATTAAAATCTGGGAAGGTAAATCAATGAAATGGTTGGTTGAGTTGTTGAGCTTCATGTCTGTTTATGGTGGTATTATAGGATTTCTATATTGGGCTTGGCTTTTCCATTTTGGTTTCTAAATCCATTAGTTGCTTCTCTGTGCATTGACACTTGTGGTGCAGCACTGCAGCTTATCAAATTTGTGGCATGCATGTTGTTAAGTGCTAACCTTTTCTCATGGGTATCTTATTGTTATACTCTTGCAGGTGAGGTCATACATGCCATCTAGGGTTAAACAAATTTTGCCTTCCTTTTTGCAAAGACATGTTCCGTATACTAGATTCTTTGAACTTTAATAGTCTTATTGAAGATGGACCTACCATGAGGCTCAAGATTGCAAAGAGGTGTCTCATTATATTTTGCGCACTTGTTACACGTCACCGGAAACATGCAGATAAGTATGTACTTTGGCCTTTACTATTCTTCTTTTCTAGCATATTTTCCATTTTACCTATGCGGCTATGCTCCAATATTTTCTTCAAAACTTATGCTCTGATGTTCTCAGCCAGATGCCACATATTGTCAACTGCGCAATCAAAATATCAAAACAAAGCATTCATTTAAGTGTAAGTTCTACATCTCAAAGAATTTAATTATTTGTGCAAAAGGATGGAGACTAGCATTCTGAGTCAATGCTGACATTCTAGATTAATGAATGTTGGAATAATTGTTTTTAATTCTTATTGGATTAGATCCTAAGATAGCCAAATGATTGCAGAAACTTGACTCTCTCCCCAATCGGATTTTTTCATTAGCATTTGATGTGATTTCTCGAGTTTTGGAAACAGGACCGGTAAGTATCTGCACCAAATAGTTGAGATGATATTTCTCTCATGTGTTCAAAAATTGATCTCCATCTGCTCCCTTTGTTTGAAGGGATGGCGACTAGTTTCACCACATTTTTCTTCACTTCTTGATTCAGCAATTTTTCCAGCATTAGCGTTGAATGAGAAGGTTAGCTCCCTATCTTTTGGTCATAAATAACACCATGCCCAATATGCACTACTTTTGTCCAAAGTCCTACTTTTGTCTATAATAGGATATTGCAGAATGGGAGGAGGATACTAATGAGTATATGCAGAAGAATCTTCCTTCTGAACTTGTAAGGACAGGATTCATCGTTTCTAGTTTTTTTTTCCTGGTGTTCCTTCTGTTGCTGATATATTTATTGGCAGGATGACATTTCAGGATGGACTGAGGATTTGTTCACTGCCAGAAAAAGTGCAATCAATTTACTTGGTGTTATAGCGCTGTCAAAGGTTGTGATTCATTTTTTTATTCTAGTTTGTTGAACACACATAGTACTGAGTTCAGGCTGAGCAAAACATTTTAAAAGATTGTTTTGCTATATTGTAATTCATAACTTACTCATTGTATATCAAGCGATTTCAGTGGCTACATGCACAGTCTTCCAAATCCATACACATTTGCTATTTTTCACTGAACCATGTAGTTTGTTGAATTAAAATAAAATGTGGAGCTGGCGGTATCATTTACTTACATTTTTTTTTGGTTTCAGGGTCCACCAGTTGCATCTGCAGCATCCAAGCGTAAGAAAGGTGATAAAAGTAAAGGGAAATCTGAAAGGAGCTCAATTGGGGAGTTATTGGTCATCCCATTCCTGTCAAAATTTCCTGTACCTTCCCATGGTGAAGATGCATCATCAATGGCAGTGCGGAAGTAAGATCATAAGAATCAATTGTCTTTATCATAAAAGAAAGGATTACAGACGTTTAGACATAACACTATGTTTATTTACTTTACTCTTATCCTGATGTACTAAATGGTTTCATTTCAGTTATTTTGGAGTTTTGATGGCATATGGAGGCCTCCAAGATGTAAGATTTTTAAATTATATCCTTCTAATGTGTCTTATTTTATGAATTTATTTTATAAGAAATGCTAATTCATTTCAGTATCCATCTTGCAGTTTCTGACTGAAAAGAAAGATTTGACAATTACTTTGATCAGATACCGGATTCTTCCATTATATTCTTTGGATCCATGCAGCCCATATTTGATTTCAACGGCTAATTGGGTTATTGGTCAGCTTGCTATATGCCTACCAGAGGTTACATGCTTTCCCTGTTTTTTAATTCCATCATCCCATAGGACATGCTGGATCAAAGTAAAGGCTTCATGTAATATGTATATTCCTGTACATTATATATTTGGCTTTCTAATTCTTGTTTGCTTACCTGTAGGACATGAGTACTAGTATTTATCAGTCCTTAATGAAGGCGTTGATGATGGACGATGTGGAGGACATAAATTGTTATCCAGTTTGTGCCTCTGCTTCTGGTGCTATTGCAGAACTCATCGAGGTAAGAGTCAATGCAGTATTTTCCATTGTAGTCTACTTGCACCTGGAAGTATAAACTGATATATTTTGTCTCTGATTTTTTTCAGAATAGTTATGCTCCACCTGACTGGCTTGTTCTTTTGCAAGTGGTTGTGAAAAGAATAAGTACCGGAGACGAAAATGAGTCTGCTTTTCTGTTTAAGCTTCTGGGCACAATAGTTGAGGGTGGACAAAAAAAAGTTCTCTCTCATATTCCTGAAATTGTGTCTAACATTGCTAATACTGTAATGGAGCTCCTGCCCCCTGTCCCAGATCCTTGGCCTCAGGTAGTAGTGCATCTTTCTTTTGTGTGGTCAATATTTTGGTACTTTGTGCAAGGAGGTTAAATCACCATGGCTGCTTTTAATCTTATGATCAGTTATTACTTTCGTATTAACAATATTATTTCTGGCCTTTGGCAAATTATGGACTAGTTGATTCAGTATACATATTGGTACTAAAAATCGGACACAAGAATCTCAAGTTACCTTGTAAACTTCTTTCAATAGAATAATTAATACGATTAAAATTCATTTGGAACTACTGACAGCTTACTTTATTATAAGAAATGCATGTTTCTCAGTCATGCCCGTATGATCACCTTTCATCATATCCCAGTATTACTGGTGTATTGGATTCCTTGAGGAAATCCCAACAACACTATTTAATATATCTGCTATGTAGGTTGTTGAACAGGGTTTTGCAGCCCTTGTAGCAATGGTTCAAGCTTGGGAGAGCTCTGCACCAGATGAAAACAAGACACATGAAAAGAGGGTCTGGCAGTCAGGCCAGTCTGCTATTGCTCAAACAATTTCATTACTGTTACAAAAAAGCTTGGTTGTTGCAAGTTGACAATATGGTATGTTACGTTTGCTGTTGACCTGTTGTCTTGAGGTATTCATGCAGTGAAATTTGCTTGACTGTTTTCAACATTCATTTCAGGAGAACATCGTTTCTGCATTGCCACCTCCGTCATGTGTAAATGATGCTTCTGTGTTACTTGAGTTTGTCATGAGTTCTGTTACTTGCATGGAAGAAACTGCAAGTATGAAGGTCTTTGAGCTGGTAGCTATATGGGCTGACACTATTGCTAACTGGGACTCCTGGGAGGAGATGGAGGATCAGGGTGTTTTCAACGCAATTAAAGAAGCTGTCAGTTTCCACCAAAGATTTGACCTTGATGGTTTCTTCCTGAAAATGCTTCCATCGCAGTCTGAAAATGGTTCACAGAGTTCAGTCATTGGGCGGGTTTCTAATTTTGTGACTAAGGCAATTGCAGCTTACCCATCTGCAACATGGAGGGCATGCTCATGCATCCATACACTACTGCACGCTCCAAATTTCTCCCTTGGAACACAAGATGCTAGAAAAACTATTGCTGAATCCTTTGCACAAGCAGCATTTTCCCGCTTCAAGTCTATATCTGACAGTCCTGCTGGGCTATGGAAACCACTATTGTTAGCAATATCTTCATGCTACATTTGCTATCCAGATGCCATTGAACAAGTCTTGAACAAATTTGATGGTAATGGTTTTGCAATCTGGACATCTGCATTGGCACAAGTCTCAAGCAGCTCATTCAATCCTGGCCTGTCATCTGAATCCGAGATCAAGTTAGCTGGTAAGTGGCTATGTACAGATCACTGCATTGTTTTACGCTGTTGATATTTTCTCTCTCTGACATCCTATGAACATGGGTCATCTTTTAATTGTTTGTTTCCTTGATGCAGTGCTAACATTATCAACTGTGATTAACCATCTTATGTCCCTTTCCATGGGTGGCACCAAAGTGTTACAAGACTGCTATGTATCACTGATGGAATCTTGCATTCAGCTGAAGGAAGTTCAAGAGGATGGGGACAATGATGATGACGATGGTGCTGAAGATCTTGATGATGACGATGAAGACGAAGACACCGAAGACGATGATGAGGTAATAGAATGAAGACACTGCTTTCTATATTTTTTGTCAGGCTTAAGCACACTGCTTATAAGATAAATATACTGCAATTAGGATTGGACGACGATGATGATGCGGGAAGAAACAGAAGAGGAATTCCTTGAAAGATATGCACTAGCTGCTGCGGGTGAGTCAATCGAGGCTATCGAGGAAGGAGACATTGACGAAGAAACCCAAGACATTGAATTGGGTACGTTCCTTCATCTGTTACCCCAATCTGCTTTTTTGCCTAAAACATGTGGGGATAGTTTCATGACCACTTGCCTCTTGAGTAAACGCAGGCTCTCTAGATGACGTGGACATACAAGAGGTGGTTATTTCCCTGATGCAGAAACGTCCTGCTTTGCAGGCCCAAACGTTTCCAAACAGCCTGGTTGAAAGAATTACAGAAACATTCCCAGAATACGAACAGTTTTTCCAAGTCCATCGACAAGCTTAGAGTATAGGAAACATGTGCAGATTTTCCTTTTTGATATGTTTGTATGTCTTGTCATTTTTTGTTAGCTTAAGTATTTCCCCTTGAGCTCTGTTCTGAGAGGTATTTTCTTGTCAGATATGTAGTGACATTTCAAATTTTTATTTTCCCTTGATGTGAGATGTGAGTGATAAGATATGCGTGATGATATCCGAGGGTTACATATGTGGTGTGGGCATAATTGTAAAACATTATATCAGTTCGTCGTTCTACCATTTTGCCATGTTTTTGCAATCTCCATTTTGCCATGATTGGAGAGGGTGGACGGGGATTGTGGTGGGGCTATTAGATGGTCTCGGGAATGCTCGGGGTGCCGCTCAATTGGAGCTCGAGCTACACGTTAATGGTGGAGGTATCTGGGGTCCAGGAGCCAGTGAGACCGGGAGGGAGAAACGCGGGCTTGGCTTGATTGGTTTCTGGGCCACCAGTAACCAGCCTTGCAACGGAGAATGTAGGGCATGGGGAGGGAGTTGGGCTGGTGGATTTCGGCCCGAGGAGAGAAGCAGGTCAGGCTGAAAAGGTGATGGAGATTTAGGTTGGTTTTGAATTGAGCTCGGCCCAAGACAGATTTTGAAGGTTTTATAGTTTTGCAAACTAATTCTATACTATTTGAATCTTGCAAACTCTCAAACTTTAAAATTTGATTAAAAATAAGTATATTTTGAACTTGTTTCAAAGCATTATCTTTTCATACCTTTCACACATTTTTAATGTCTTTTTAACCTGCTTTTGCAAACCTTTTAAACTATATTTTGATAAATCATTTAAAACTATTGTGAAGCTCTTTTGAAATATTTTAGAACCCTGTTTTAAATAATCATTTAAGGTATTTTGAATCTAGTTTTGAGTGACAAAAATAAACAATTTCAAAACCCCCTTTTGAAACTTAATTTCTCACTCTTGTTTTTGAAATATACAATTATTTTGAGAAATTTAACCCCCCTTTTTAAGAAAGTTTTAAAACTATTTAATACACATTTTCAAACACTTTTGGAACCCATAAGTGAACTTGTTTTTTAAACTACTAGTTTTTGTAAAATAATATTTAGCTTATTACACCTACCCTTGTGTTGCACTTCAATATTTACAAGTGGTGAATAAGTCTTGGAGCTTACACATGCATGTGCTTAATTTTTCATAATTCGCAAGTGCAAGTACAATACCTATCCAAGAAGGTGAAGTTTGTGGTTCAACCAAAGCCGTCACCGAGTACTGAAACATATGAATTCATGTTTTCACATGTGTGTGTTTTGTTGCTATCTTTGGTTTCAATAAAATGGGCATGTGAAAACATGAACTCAGGTGCTTTCCTATTTGGACTTCCTTTTATCTATGAGCCGCTAAATCATTGTTTTTATTTGTGTTACCCAACTACATCATAAAATCAGAAAAAAATTATAGTGTGACATTCACCTACATGAAAAGTCTCATATCCTTTGTCGGTAGCATAATGGGTAGTCAAAGCAACAATTTCCCTGCCAATAGAGCACCTATAGGGAAAACTATTCCCCGTCGATTTATGTTGACATGAATAAAATCAACAAACCTGATGCTGCATAGTTTTTTCTGTTGGCCAATAGTAAGAAAGTGTCGAGAAATGTTTTTGATGGTTAATCGACATGGAATTTTTCCAGACATTCGGTCCCTAGCGGTATTTTCATACCGGTTTGCTGTCAGGAAAATACTTTGACAGTTTTGCTTATTTCGTCATTCCTTGACAGTTTCGAACCGCTAGGAAAATTCCAGTCCCAATAGTGTTCATTTGAAACAACTACGAATAATTGAACCAGAACAAATAAGATTGTTGCCCATATCAACATACGATCATTAGCTAGTGATGTTTCCAAACATAATACTCCACCGTCTGAGAATGTACGTAGCTATATTCTTAGACGGAGAAGTAATAGTGGCACTACATGTCTACATAAGCACAAAATACAAGCATCTTAATAACAAGTCTCATGATACAGATAAAGATGACACGACACTACATGAATATAATTCAAAGTACAGTCAACTCAAGTACTAAATTGTGACCACCATGGATATGGGGATGAAGCTGAAGTCTTGCTATATATAAAGTAGTAGCTATACCAGAATGATGTTCAGACATCCTTTATTAACCTGTGACAGAACATGAGCCTCCGGTGGCTATTGCCTTCACTCGCTTAAGCTCCTCCACCACCTCAGCCATGGTCGGTCTGTCATCCAAGTCTTCCTTGAGGCATTGGACTGCAAGCTTACTGATCATGTCGAGGCACTCCATGTGATGATGAGATCGAGCGTCATCACCAGATAAGATCTCTTCATCGTACAACTTCCGTCCATTTCCCTCGTCCTTGCATAACTTGATGAAGTCTATGTAGAGGCTATTTTCCCCATCCTTTGCGGGCTTCCTTGTGACGAGCTCCAAGAGCACCACACCGAAGCTGTAGACGTCGCTCTTCTCCATGAATTGGCCAGACTTTATGTATATCGGGTCTATGTAGCCCATGTCTCCTGATACACACCACTTGGAGTACCTGCTAGCGACAGACACAAGCTTTGCCCAGCCAAAGTCAGAGACCTTGGGAGTGAGATTATCATCGAGGAGGATATTGCCTGACTTGACATCACCATGGACATGGTTGTGGCCACCATGCATGAGAGTGCATGTAAGCAAGAGCTTCCGCTGAGCCGATGGCAATGTTCAGGCGCACTGGCAAGGACAGCAGGTGCATCTTGCCTGTGCCATGAAGCACGCTGTAAAGGCTTCCTCTGGGGACAAACTCTAAGACAAGCATGGGAACGTCTGTCTCTAGGCAGCATCCAACGAGGCGGACCAGGTTAGCGTGGTTGATGCGGAACTGGAAGGTGATCTCGTTCACGAACTCCTCCTGCGGAAGCACCTCGCCTTTCGCAGTGGAGCACTTGACGGCAACCTGTTGGGCATCACCAGTGATCCCTCTGTAGACCTTTCCAAAGGCACCTTCTCCAATGGAGTTTTTGTAGCCGTTTGTGATTTTCTTCAGCTGACCCTCCGTCACTACCGGACTCAGTGGCAAAGCCCAATTTGTACTCGGCAAAGGCTTTATCGAGTGCTGCACTCGGTAAAGACCACTCGGCAAAAAATACGTCGGCAAAGTGTTTTTTGTTGGGCACTCGGCAAAGCCTTTGCCGAGTGCCCGACACTCGGCAAAGTTGGAACTGAAAAAAAACCCGAAAAAATGGGAATTTTTTTTAATCGGTGGAGGCCCCCACCCATCTTCGGTATTTTTCGCGTATACGCGGCCGGCGGGATCCGAACCCACGATCTCCCCCTGCGCACGAACCTCCTCTACCACTACACCACACTTTCATTTGTGTCTAGATTTCGTTTTAGTTCCCAATATATTATACTAAACCGAGTGTAAATTGCTTGTTTGAGGCCCTAAACGAATTCAAATAAAAAAGTTATAAACTACAAAGTTTCATAACTTTTCAAGATCTACACTTTTAGTTTAGGAAGTTTTTCCATCCGAGGTCGTTTATAAAATTTGAATTTCAAAATTTTGAAATTGAAATGCAGTTTTGCATAACAAGATGGTTTTAAATCAAAAAGTTGCCAACTACCATGTTTCATAACTTTTCGAGATCTACAAAGTATTTTTTGGTTGTTTTTCTATCCGAGGTCGTTTGAAAAGTTCGAATTTTAAAATTTTGAAATTCAAACACAGTTTTGCATGACAAGATGATTTCAAATCAAAAAGTTGCTGACTACAATGTTTCATAACTTTTCAAAATCTACAATGTTTATTTTGGTTGTTTTTCCATCCGAGGTCGTTTGAAAAGTTCGAATTTTAAAATTTTGAAATTCAAACATAGTTTTGCATGACAAGATGATTTCAAATCAAAAAGTTGTCAATTACAAAGTTTCATAACTTTTTGAGATCTACAAAGTTTATATTGGTTGTTTGGTCATCTGTTCATCCGACATGGTTGTTCTAACATTATTCACAAATCTTATATATCTCTCTTGTAGTTTTATAAACTACGAGAGAGATATGTTAGATTTGTGAACAAATTTATTTTTACTTTGTCATATAAAGAAAAGACCAAAACAAACATTGTACATCTTGATGAGTTATACAACTTTGTAGTTGAAAACTTTTTTATTTGAATTAATTTACTGCTTCAAAATGTGCTTTGAAATTTTCTTTGCCGAGTGTAAAAAAAAAACACTCGGCAAAGAAGCTTCTTTGCCGAGTGTCAAAAAAAAAACACCCGGCAAAGAAGCTTTTTTGCCGAGTATAAAAAAACGCTCGGTAAAGGCGTCTTTGCCGAGTGCCCGAAAAACAACACTCGGCAAACCACTTGGCACTCGGCAAAGAGCCAGTCTCCGGTAGTGCGTGAAGATGTTGATGCCCATGCTCTTGAGTATGTCACCACCGTTTTTGTCAAAAAAAACCTCCTTTGCTTTCGCCTCTTAGCCTCTAAAATTACGAAAGTTGCTAGGGCGATGACAATAAATATTGCTGCAGCCACAGTGAAACAGGATCGATTGTCAGTCATACAGTTGCATGCAGACAATGCATTATTCCTTCCTGAAATTAATTTGTGCTAAAACTTGTCTATTACATTTTGTTGCCTGTAAACTATGCTGTTGCAGTGGATTTGTTAAATTAAGAATTTCTCCTTAGCGTTTATGCTTCTTAATGGTACAAACCGTCTAAAATATTTCAAAGGCACCTAATGGAATGGTAACAATACATCAGTTCCCTTTTATCATTAAAAATAATTTCATCTTTACCTCAAACTACAACTTTGGATCTCAAAATCCATTCGATATATATGCCTTACAAAGTATTGAACTAATCATGATTTTAAGAAGACAAAACTATCATGTACAGCTACTTGTGTCATAATAACGAGTAGCATAAAAAAGAATAAACCAGTCTTAGATCACATGCATACCTTTGTATTGTGCAACTATACAAATTGAAGTGATTTTAATTTTCATAGCCAGCAACAGTATTAAAATACCAATTGAAGATAATTTCCATCACAAAATGAAAGAGCTAGCACATCATTATGCAATGAGTAAATCCTCACCAAATATTAGTATCGCCCATATGGGCAATATGAGCTTACATCCTTTTTCACTTTTACCATCTCCCCTTAGTCAAAATTTGCATTTGCATTTATAACCACCCTGTGTATCATGGCATGTGCTACCACTATAACAGGGATATAGTTTTTCATACTTCTCAGGATCTGATTTCCGAAGATCACACTCATTTATATCTGTATCAAAGATATATGGGAATCAAATAGTTAGATGGGAACATTGAATATTTAGCAAACTATAGCTGCTAAACAGAATTAAACTGGAAATATACTACAATGTAATAATTGACCATTAACTGTTACATTGGCCACTACTTTCTTCCTCCCTTTATACTGAACCAGAGTTTGGTGGAAAAAATCTAAAAAATAAATCACATGGACACTAGAAGACTAAACTTTCCATAACTCTCTCTCTCTCTATCATGTAGACA